CCGCATAAACACATTTCATTACACCAAATACACAAAATAATGTTCTTTTTAGCAACATCATATGACTCCTTTAATACAAATAGCCCAAGCGCCGATCACACGATTGCATTTAAAAACATGAGACGCAGTGGAATGAAATAAAACCCCCACAAATTCTCGAGACATGTTTTCTAAAAGTTGAACCTCTTTTAACTTTACATGGCGCTCTATTCATCTCTTGTGCGAGACGCGAGTGCAACAGTCATAGTTGTGCATCTCAAGAATGCGCCGAATATGCGTTCTGTGTGAATGGCTTGGTGGGTTTTAATGTTTTTGTCTCGTCGCTCCGGCCGGACACGGCATCACAGTATGGTGAGGGGTACTGTGGTGAGGGGTATATCGATACCGTTTTATCGCCCAGGCCTAGATGAAGCAGTATCTACTCGTCCTGAGCTAATAACCTACATTACAATTCAAGTTTAGAATTTTTATTTCATGATTTTGAAGGAGGTCTTTTCTGCTCACCAAGGCTGCACTTATTTAATCAGAAATACAGTGAAAACAGTAATATTGTGAAATATTACAATTTGAAATAACTTTTCTGTTGTAATATAATGTAATTGATTTTCAGCATCATTACTCCAGTCTTCAGTGTCACATGATCCTTCAGAAATCATTCTAATCTGATATGAGCTACAATTATAATTGATGATAATTGAGCTGCAATTATTAATATTGGTTCTTATTATTAAAGATTTTTTGTAGGGCTGCACGATATTGGAAAAAACTCACATTGCGATATTTTGTTTTTCTGCAATATATATAGCAATATGGAAGAAAAAAAAAATCACCAGATGACTTGAATAGCTCTATTTGGAAAAAAAATCAATGACTGGGGTGATTTTTGTTGGTTAATAAATCAGAATAGAAAATAAACAAATGACAAGCATAGATAAATATAATAGAAAAAAAAGATACAAATGAAATAAACAGTGCTTTATATTTTTCAGTGTGTTTAATTAGGGTTGGAGCTAAACTCTGCAGGACACCGGCCCTCCAGGACCGAGTTTGGACAGCCCTGACCTAAACCATAAGCAACTGTGTTTACAAGGATACTTGCAGAGACATGCCTTTTGATATAATTTCGCGCAGTGGAAGTGACTGGAATTTGGTGTTCATGTGCATTTGCGTGGCTCTTACCGTGTCTACATCGGACGAGCGGCGCGGCGCGACAAAATACTATAGAACCCATTATAATGGGTGATGCTGTCTACACTGGATACGACACGACACGACAAATCCCCGTTAGTAAACTGATGTCTCGTTCTATTTATGACGAATTGATACAAAGTTCAAATGATTTGCAAAGCTCACTTTTGTCGTGTCTAGTGCAGACAGACTTTAGCTGTTACGCCGCGGCATGACACGACAGCTGTCGCGTCTGGTGTCTAGACGCAGTGTCTGTGTGTGAGCAAAGAAAACAGCATGTGTGTTCATAATTGAGCCCTATTTCGCACCTTCTCGCGCTCTAATGGTTTAAAATCGCTTGAATGTTTAAACCGACAGGACAACACATGCAAATGATGAACCTTCATTGTAGGATGGTTAAACTATGCAGATAATCCAAGAATCACCTGCGTTTCGAACCGTGGTACCTGGTCCATACGGAATAACGATCGGTATACTAAACATCGCACATCCTGCGATGTGACTATCGCAGATGCGCACATCGCGATATTGATGCTGAAACGATATATCGTGCAGCCATAATGTTTTGCTGCCTAAAAACCATGATAGTTTTTTTCTGGATTCTTTGAATAGAAAGTTCAAAGGAACAGCTTTTATTTGAAATAGCGTTTGTGAACTTGTCTCATTTTAACCACCAGATGTTCCGCAGCTTATAATATGCTAATGCTTGTCAACACCCTTTTTCTGTATGACGCTGAACTAAGACACGTCTGCAAAAGCCATCTAAAAACACAACCCAGGCCTGCTTTCAAAGTGAATCGAGTTCTGAGTCTAATATCTGTCTGCTGCACAAACGCCTCGTCATTAAATACTAATGCTTTTCACTCCAGTTTGATTCTCACTTCTCTTTAACTTTTTACAGGCAAATTGTGGATTTTCTCAGCAACGAGGGACACATTTTCTCCACCATTGATGAGGACCACTTCAGATCAACAATGAAGTCTAATTACCTTTTTTTGTCAGATTGCCTTAATAAGCCCATTTCTTATCTACATATATATATATTAGGGGTGTGACGAGATCCAATGTGTCTCGCGATATCTGACTGGTCTCACGAGAACGTGACTATATCCTCGCACAGACCTTTCAGATATGCAATACACTGGCTTGTTCACAAGTGGTGGTATGTAAGATATTTTGTTCAGATCAGGCAAGTGGCCGCATGATAAGCGGGAAAATTACGCAGTGTAATTTCATCGAGGATTTCTTTAAAATAAAGTCTAAAAATCTCGTGTCTCGTCTCGTCTCGTGGGATAAGTGTCTCGTCACACCCCTAATATATATATAGAATTTCAGTTAGTTTTTGGTCATTTTAATAAAAGCATACTCATTTTAACTTATTTTCTTTCTTTAGAGGTCAGCATGTCATAAAAAGCAGTAAAAAGGACAGTGTCTAATTTACAATAAATGGTATATTTGTTAAACCTTGCATTGTCTTTGAGTATTTAGACACAATTAAATATTTCAGATTAGCATTAGGTATGGGTGCAGTGGAGACTCCATATTAGCTGGTACTCTTTGATTTCTTGGGTTTCTTTTGCACGTCTTGCTATGAAGACACAGCAAAATACAAAGTGTCCTTTAATAAAACAAGCTTTCATGGGGGTTTTTTAATGTTTCTTCGATAGACTCGTAGTCATGGTCAGAGTCGGAGAGTCCCTGTGCTGTGAAAAGGAAGGAATAGATTAGTATACATGATATTTTAGCTCCCTGATGGGCAATTCCAAGTATCATCAAATTAAGGTTAAAACTCAGAGCAACAAATGTCTTAAAATGCAAAGAGAAACTAACCTGATTTGTGTGCTACTGTGGGGCTTTTGACATACGTATTGTGCGCACTGACGCTCTCTGCTGTTGATATGCCTTTCCTAGGCAACAGTGGAGAGGGCTGGTCTGAAGTCTAGTGGAGTTGCACAAGAAAAAAAAAAGTGAAATTTATAAGCTGCTGAGCCAGCTAAACAAATGAGAAAAGAGGTGTTTTCTGTTCAGTAATACACACACGCATAGTAACTATCCCACGTGGTGTTTGCAGCAGACTTTATAATGATGATTTATGCATGTACCAATAGTTAACCCAGGAATAGTTCACCCAAAAATGAAAATTCGATCGTCATTATACATCTATGTATGGACAACATAATTGTTTGTGGATATGTTTAAATAAGTAATAAAGAAGTACTAGACTTAGTATATATACATAGGTGTAATATTTTACATTATACCCAAAATTTGACGATTTGAACAGCCTGCATGTATGGTACTTCAGTGGTGCTTTGTCATTATTGGAGGTTGACAGCGTCCATCCCCATTCACTTTCATTGTATAGCAAAGAGCATGTTGGGAATTCTGCCGAACAACTTTTGTTTCACAAAGCAAGTTTTGTGGATTTTGAACAAGATGATGATCATATTTTTGGATGAACTATTTTTAAAAATTGATTACTATACTTTAAACTTTACCATGTAAATATGTGAGCAGTTGATTTTTCCATCACCACAGAGGGGAATTTGGAAAAAGCAGTAATAGATAATCCTGTAATAGATAATCTAAGAATGACTCATTATGAAACCGATATATGAAACCGAAACAGATATTCATGTTTGAATTCTACATTTCTGTTTTAGTGGGTGAAACTTCAGTGGTGCTTTGTCATTATTGGAGGTTGACAGCGTCCATCCCCATTCACTTTCATTGTATAGCAAAGAGCATGTTGGGAATTCTGCCGAACAACTTTTGTTTCACAAAGCAAGTTTTGTGGATTTTGAACAAGATGATGATCATATTTTTGGATGAACTATTTTTAAAAATTGATTACTATACTTTAAACTTTACCATGTAAATATGTGAGCAGTTGATTTTTCCATCACCACAGAGGGGAATTTGGAAAAAGCAGTAATAGATAATCCTGTAATAGATAATCTAAGAATGACTCATTATGAAACCTAGATATTCATGCTTGAATTCTACATTTCTGTTTTAGTGGGTGAATAAAAGTTCATGCTTACATCTTCTGGCGGAGGTGGAGCAGGAGCCCGTCTACCCTTTGTCTGACCCAGCAACAGGTTGTCGAGCTGTTTGGTCACAGCGCTGCTTAAGTTTGGTAATTTAGATTCAGACTTGGGTGACTTTTTAGGCACTTCTGAACTGGCTGGCTTCCTCTTTGGTGGACGAGGAGGTGGTTCCTCAATTTTGCTTATAAGTTTATGATATTCATAGTAGAATTTCTCAGTCACCTCAGTGACTGTCTCTACGTGAAGTTCTGGGGACTCATTACTAAACCACGGCAGATGATCAGAGGTGAGGCAGAGAGACATTTGTAACCAGCGTACTGGCAACTCGAAGCACCAGTCTGGTTTATTTGGTAGGCTCGTCAACACCGTGGTCTCCGTGAAAGTCTCCTCAAGCTTAAGTGCTGGTAACCCCATCAGGGGATCTTTTTCCAGCTCTTTATCCCGAGTCACCACTTTAATATCTAGAGGCAAAGAGCTACTCGCTAAATCTGTTAATTTATACTTCTTGTTGTCTGAAAGCTTTTCAACAAAGTGACCTGCCATAAACAGTGGCAGAGAGATTTCCTTACTATCGTTTTCCTCATCTTCCTCATCCTCGTCGTCCAGCTCCATAGTCTGTTTGCAAATTAGACTTTCTATTTTCTGAGCAGCTCCTGATGAATCCTTGAGTCCGTCCATCAGCGCCATTCCCAAAACCTCCAGCTGCTCGCCAACACTGAGCGCAGGCATTCCCTCTTCCTCTACCGCCTCGCAGTGACGAGTCACACTTACTTTCAAACCTGGAGACTGAGAGGATGCCAAGTGTAGCTCGTACACTGATCCAAATTCCCGGGCCCTTCTTCTCATTCTTCCACCATAGCTCTCTGAGATGATGAAGTACTGTTTTCCCTTCCTCCCCTTTGGAGTTGAGGCTAATATCATTGTTGTTGTGCCATAACTATGTAACACGAGGCGCCTGCCTCTTTGCAGTTCTTCAAACCAGCTGCAATTAAAAAACTTATTGCCTTCTGGGCTATCAAGGATCTCTGCCATAGTTGGAAAGGACTCCATTGGCTGACTCGCAACTTCAGTCATTGATAGCGGTGTTATGAAAACTAAATCCTGGAACTGTTCTGACACGTCCTGGACATCCACTTCCAGGCTGGATGGGAACTTGACTACGTTCTTCCTCACTGTATGTAAATATAAAAATTCAATCGTGAACAAATATTTATTCCAAGACCATTTCCATGCATCAAGCCTCTATGATTAGGGTGTCTAATCTTGCACCTGGAGAGCCAGTGTCCTGATGAGTTTAGCTCCAACCTGCCCCAACACACCTGCCTGGATGTTTCTAGTAATCCTGAAGACCTTGATTAGCTGGTTCAGATGTGTTTAATTAGGATTGGAGCTAAACTTTGCAGAATAATGGCTCTCAAGAAGCATGACTGGACACCCCGTCTCTGACGTGTACTCAGTCCCACTCGTGAAGGACTCCCAACACTGCTCCAACTCCCCAACTTGTAGTTTTCAGGTAAACCCAAAGACCTTGATTAGCTGGTTTAAGTACGTTAGATTAGAGTTGGAGCTAAACTTTCAAGGATCCAGGAGCAGGAGTGGACACCCCTGCTCTATGACTGGTTGACTATGACAGGAACAACATACAAAATATGACAGTGATAATCTCAGGTAATGATTATGTGCTTTATTCAACTTTAAAAGTGTCTAATGTGAGTTTGAATATTATTTTGCGTTATCTTTATAGCCATAGTGAAAGCAACAATAGATATTTTACCTCATATATTGAAAATAAATTAAAGCAAACTTGTACGTTAAAACTGTGAACTCACTGCGAACCAACACGTTTATTCCATAACAAAGATATCAGTCACTCACTCACTCAGTCCATTCACAGTTGAATCATCTATTTTCCGTGTCCACTTTTATTTTCTACACACTCCCCATGTTTTTGCTGTCACATTGTATCTCCATTGGACGCGACAAAGCATTGCAAATCATTTGAACGTTGTGTCAGTATGTTATAAATAGAACGAGTCAGCAGTTTACTGTGGGGGATTTGTCGAGTCGCGCCGCATCCAGTGTTGACAGCATCACTGATTATAATGGGTTCTATTGTATTTTATTGCACCTCTCGCATCCGGTGTAGACACGATGTAAGTTACTGTAGCGATGTAAGTTGAATTTTCATGCCACATTATTTGAAATTAGCGCGGGCCAAACTGTTTTCTCTCACGGGCCGCCTATTGAGGAACCCTGCCCTATAGTGTTTGTTATAATGCAAAACTATCTGGTTTGTGTAATCTAGTTGTTTTTACATCATTCTTGCTAGATTGCTCTTTTAAAAACGTTCAGTTCAGACTACTAGTTGCCGGACATTAGTCTAGATTGACACCGGCTGGTTTTGTGGGGTCATTATGACCAAAGCCTGGAAACAAGTTCCCATTTTAGCACTTATGGTTCCCTTGTTCTGAAATCAGTGGGGTTTTTTTTTTTTTGGTTAAATGTCTGAAATAATGTCTGTGGTTCACACAAGCTCAGGATATTTTCATGTTTTATTCTACAACATTTTACTTGTCTTGAAAATGGCGGTTAGTCACAAGTTGCTCAATTGGACTACAGAGGTTGTACACAGCTTGTTTTCAGAAATAATCCAAAAGCCAATGAACACATCCAATTGGGTTTTTGTCAAAGGATCCGGGGTGATGCTAACTTTTGGGCTAGCCTAAAAAAATATATCATCACTGCAGCACTCCATGCACTGGACAATTATGGATCTGGCTTTGGCACCAGCAACCTGTCGGTGGGAAAAGGACTTGACAAATATTTACCAAGTAACACTGTTATACTTACTTTGCATAATGGCACTAATTTCATACACTGGGCTGAAAACCAACAAGCTTCCACTGTTCTTCTCATTTGTATTGCGGAAGCGACGGCAACTCAGCCTGGATGATGCCATGATTTCCTCAAGAGAGTAACCTCGGTCACCTTGACACTCATAAAAC